CAATGTCTAAAACCTCTGCACCAAACCAAGCAGGCCCCTGTTCTGAAAATGACCTGCAACCTACTGCACACACCAAAAATAACCAATCAGCAAAACACAATAATACAGTTCCCCTTTGAACTTCCCCTTGTGGTCTCACCATCTATGGGTGCAAGGCCAGTGGTAGCAGAAATGTTCAGCACTCTGTCTCCAGACACAACTCAATGAGTTTGAATATTTTTAATGACTCAACACCAATACAAACAGGTCTGATCCTGAAAGTCCAAAAACATCAGAAAGGTGTCATGTGATCAGTGTCATCAAGTCACAGAAAGCCTTTCATACAGTTCGGTGGTAGCGACCCTTCTGTGAGCTCCACAGTCTCCAGGGTGGATTTAGTTCTGGAGGAATGTACCACGAGATGGACCGAGGAGGTCGATACGGCATTGGCTGGTTGAGTCTTGACAAGAGTGGGGCCTGCCGGGTGGCCCGTGTCCTTCTGGCCAAGACTGCAGCATTGTGGGTAATTTCCAAAACACTCAAACGTTTCAACGCAGCAGCGGCTCTCTATAAAGGGGCTCCTGACATCCTGGTGCATGCCCGGCGCTTGCTTCACGGGAGTTCGGCAGGTGCCACAGGCCATGGCACACACAGCCTGAAAGACGGACAAGTCTTTGGTTACCACATTCAGAAAGTTTGGCTTCAGTAGCAGATACACCAGGGGGTTGTAGAGGGTAGAAGACTTGGCGAACACAGCAGCGAGGGCGAAGGCCATGGCCGGGACCCGCCTGGCATCACTAAAAACTGCCCACATTGACACAACAGCGTAGGGAGTCCATGCGAGGAGGAAGCCAATGCAGACTGCAACACTGAGCTGAGAAAAACAAAAAGAGATGACAAATACGGAATACAATGTTATTTATTATATTAACAAAGGAAGGATCGATTCATCCGAACCCAAAGTCATAAAGAGCTAAAACAATCTATGGAAAACAGATGTTATCTGTGGATCAACAGCTCATTTCCCTCGGGACAGGGGTATGCAACCATGGCACTCCAGAAAAAGACCAATGCCATCGAGTCTGACCCTTTTTGATTTTTTTTTTAACCTTATTAAGTATACACTCACTGGCTGCTTTATTAGGTACACCTCTTCAACTGCTCCTTAACACAAATATCTCATCAGCCAATCACATGGCAGTAACGCAATACATTTAGGCATGTAGACATGGTGTAATGGATCCCCGCCATCTGCGCATGTGCAACCTGCACGTTCCCGCACTGCTCGGGAACGCGCCATCCCGCGCATGCGCAGAAGCAGTAGCCTACCAGCATGAAAATACGCCATAGCGGCGCACTGGAAATTACATCACTGGCCCTATATAAACCCAGCAGCAGTACCACCATGTTGCTGGTTTATCGTCAGCTATTCCTTGTTCCAGTTTTTGTGATATCTTGCTTGATCCTTGTGACCCGGACTTCCTCGACAAACCTTGAATTCTGCCTGCCTTGACCACGGAACTGTTATTTGACCATTCTTCTGCCTGACCCCTTTTGTACTGGAATTGCCCGCTTGGAACCTGACCTCGGATTGCCCATTGGACTACGGCTTGCACGGTGCTCAACACCACTGGCACTCCTGCCACTTGTTGTCCCGCTGGGCTCTGTTCCCATCCTCAGAGTCTCCCAGGACACAAGGTGCAAGGGAAGCCTCCTCTCACATCCGGTCTCCCATAAGGTACGTAACACATGGTCAAGATGGTCTGCTGAAGTTCAACCCGAGCATCAGAGTGGGGAAGAAAGGGGATTTAGGTGACTTTGAACGTGGCGTGGTTGTTGGTGCCAGACGGGCTGGTCTGAGTATTTCAGCAACTGCTGATCTTCTGGGATTTTCATACACAACCATCTACAGAGCATGGTCCGAAAAAGAGAAAATATCCAGTGAGCGGCAGCTCTCCGGGCAAGAAGACATGGTTGATGCCAGAGGTCAGAGGAGAATAGCAAGACTGGTTGGAGATGATAGAAAGGCAACAGTAACTCTAATAGCCACTTGTTACAACCAAGGTAGGTATGCAGAATACCATCTCTGAACGCACAACACGTCCAACCTTGAATCAGATGGGCTACAGCAGCAGAAGACCACACCGGGTGCCACTTCTGTCAGCTAAGAACAGGAACCGGAGGCTACAGTTCGCACGGGCTCACCAAAATTGTAAAATAGACGATTGGAAAAACGTTGTCTGGTCTGATGAGTCTCTATTTCTGTTGCGACATTCGGATGGTCGGCTGAGAATTTGATGTAAACAACATGAAAGCGTCTATCCATCCTGCATTGTATCAGCGGTGCAGGCTGGTGGTGCTTCGCATCATGGATGTGCAGCCGACAAATCTGCAGCAAACTGTGTGATGCTATCATGTCAGTACGGACCAAACTCTCTAAGGAATGTTTCCATCCCCTTGTTGAATCAATGCCACAAAGGATGAAAGCAGTTCTGAAGACAAAAGGGGGTCCAACCCGGGACTAGCAAGGTGTGCCTAATAAAGTGGCCAGTGAGTGAAGATCTATGTTTATTCCAAATGGAAAACACAATAAGGATAAAGCGCACTTCTGTGGGGTAGGCAAGCTTCAATTAGGTGGCTGTTGTGTGTAGGTGTGCAAAGCTCCTCGCTACAGGGAGAGGACCCTGTCTTTTCACAACTACAGATCCAAATACAAAAAGTCAGGAGCGCAACTACCAAAAGTGGTGTGAGTGTACACTCACACCACCTTTGGTAGTTGCGCTTCTGACTTTTTGTATTTGGATCTGTAGTTATGTTTATTCCAAGCAAGTTTAATTTCACTTCCTGTTGATGGACTCACTGCCTCTGCTGGAAGTCTGTTCCAAACATCAACTACACTTTCTATAGAATAATACTTTCTAAGGTTAGTTTTGAACGTTCCTCCTGCTAGATTGGGATCATGTTCCCATGTTCTTGATCTCAGCTTGATACTGAAAACTAGACTTGTGCGCCGTCAGAAAATTCAATTCGTTTCGGAATATCCGTTATTTCGTAATTCGTGTCCGAAACTCAATTCGGATTCGTACGAAATACGAATTTTCGTTAGTTTCGTCACATTTTCGTAACTTTACGAACATTCGTTATGATGAAGTTAAAAAGCAAAAATACCTTTGTTAATATTGGAGTCGATGGTAATTTTTTTTAAAATCCGAAATACGTAATTCCGTATTTCGGATAAAAAAAAAAAAAACTACCATCGAATCCAATATATTAACAAAGGTATTTTTGCTTTTTAACTTCAATATACAGATGTTCCTCACTTACCGACTTACCTGTTTTGCGACCACTCGCACTTACGACGGACCGCCGATCGACCTCCGACCTTCCGCGTCAGTGCGACGGGTCGCCGGCGGAAGTGACATCCCCCGATCTTCACTGCAGGTCTCGGTAAGTATTTCCATTGCCGGATGTACAGTACACTGTTCGGTACTGTACATCGGCAACGCTATACAGCACTGTACTAATGCAGTATAGTACTGTATAGAGTTCCTCACTTAACGACCAATCCGTTTAACGACCTGGTCGTAGGAACGGAACTCGGTCGTTAAGTGAGGAATACCTGTATAACGAATGTTCGTAACGGAACGAAAATACGTTGTAATGCAACCCTCAGCAGCAGAAGAGAACCTCTGATTGGTCAACCAAACGAAATACGAAATTCCGTTAACGGATTTCGGATCCGAATTTCGTATTAAAAAAAAACTACCATCAAGGCATCAACTCCAATATTAACAAACTTATTTTGCTTTTTAACTTCATCATAACGAATGTTCGTAACGGAACGAAAATACGTTAACGGAATTTCGTATTTCCTGCCTGTGTTGTAATGCAACCCTCAGCAGCAGCAGATCCGAATTTCGTATTTCGGATAAAAAAAAATCTTGTCATGTTGTTCAACCTCATTTACAGGGGGTAATATTAGTTCCCGTTTCAACAAAATTCGGATCCGAAATTCGTTAACGGAATGTCGTATTTCGGATATAATTGGGAAACTGCAATTCGGATTTCCTATGCTTCTGAATTTACGAATTTCAGGAAATTCGTACGAATTTCGATTCGTAGCGAAACGAATCGCACATGTCTACTGAAAACACTGCCCTCCTGAACCCTATTCACACCCTTCATGTATATAAAGGTATCAACCATGTCTCTTCTTCCCCTTCTTCTCATAAGGCTGAATATAGCAGGTTCCTGCAGTGTCTCCTGATATGTTTCATCCCTCCGACATTGTTGTTGCCCATCCTGCTCAAAAAAACATTTAGTCAAAAAACAAAAACCTCAGTCGGATTAATCTGACATGATATGTCCTCAGTAAAGCCATGCTGCATGATGATGAAGCTTTCCGCTCCCGGACCCCACACTCTCCTCTTCTATGTCCCCAGCTTCCCCCCATCTGCCCCTTCACGTCCCCAGTTTTCCGCTCCCGGACCCCATGTCACCTTCATAGTCCCAGCTCCCTATATCTCCCCCTTCTTTCCGCAGCAGCTCTCTATTCGGCAGCATTTTGTGCGATGAGGAGGCGGGGATAACACCGCTTACCACTCATTGGCAGCTGCACCGGCTGGATCATACTTCACGCTGCGCCCGGAACAAGGTGAGGGGAGCAGCGTGAAGCATGTAGGGCCCAGGACAGGAGGAAGAGGTCCCGGGACTGACATTAGCGGCTACCGGGATAATAAATATCCTGGTAATCAGCGGTTACCAGGGGCCCCTTCCTCCTGTCCTAGGCCCCCCTCCAAATGGCGGAACTCCAGGGCCCGGTCGCAGCCGCGACCTCTGCGACCCTGGTGGATGAAGCATGATGTCTAAGCCCTCGTTCACAACCCTCGTTCACACCCCTGCTACATCGCAGAGCAGCTGCAGGGTGCGTCTGTGGTGCACTGCAGTAGGCAGCCCATTCATTTCAATGGGCTATCTATCACAGCTAAATAACACTGAAAGAAGTGCATGCACCTTTTCTTTAAATTGCATCGCACCACATGGCATGGTCATAGGCTACCATGCAGTGTGGTGCGAATTAACGCAAATACTATAGATAGGTGCATTGGGGTGCTATTAAGAAATGCAGCATCACCCGCGATCCCACATCACATAAATGTGAACAGAGCCATAACCAGTTGACATCCGCGGTGTTAAACCCCCTTCCCATCCAGGCCATTTTTCAGTATTCAGCGCTGCGGTACTTTAACTGACATTTATTCCGTCACGTATACTGAGACGCCGCAGCTCAAGCGGATGCCGACAATTATGTCTGGATCCGCCCAGCTGCGTGACTGACAGTTGGCTCTGCCTATCTAGAGGCAGAGCCAGCTGTACCCGCCCCCTCCCCCGTCCGTTCCGCCAGTCAGCGCTGGCAGATCGGAGCGGGGAATCCAGCCCCTCCCCTGTCACGGCAGAGAGCCGTGACAGGATCGAGAGGTGAGCGAACGCCGGTATGTGTTCGCTCACCTCCCGATCTACTGAGCCGACCTGTGACAGTCTCATTGTCACAGGTCGGCTAGAACTATGAGGTGAGTGAAAAGCACTCACTTCATAGTTCTCCTTTAATGCTGTTCTAGGTAAAGAAAAAAATGTACTTCCTGTTGTGTCCCTGGAACAGGAAGAGATGGGAAGTCTGCACTACATTATAGGCAAATTAAATCAGACCTTTACCCCCTTTCACTAGAATCACCTCAGCATGTAGCTCTGTATGCTGATATGAAATCATCTTACATTCATCACTTAAAAAAACATATTTATCTTATACCAAAAATGATTGGTTTTCCACTTCCTGGTCCTCTTGGGCATTAGTGATGTAGTGTGCCCAAGCCTTGCATCCTGGGAAATCTCATCTGTATTCTCATGAGATCTCAGGGAAAGGCATTTTCCTCTCCTGAGATGATGTGGAAGGTCACATGCCCTAGTCACATGTACAAAAGTTCCAGGAAGTAAAGGGACATGAAATAATATTCCCTTAGTAAAAATGGCCGCTGTGGGAAGAGTGGGGTGGAAAAGAAAAATAAGGGATGCAATGAATAAAAAGACGGCAATTATCTATAATTATCTGTTTGTAGATTGTCATCCCTAAACATTTCTAAAGGTGTGTTTGTTGTCATTTCAAAGATCTGGGTAAAGTTCCCCTTTAAGGCCGCAGCAGGGGAGCCCGGAGAGGACACAATAGGAAACCTCTCCACACCAGTGCTAAATATTACAACAAACGTAGAGGTGACCGCAAGCTGCCAGGAACGCACACACAAATCTCAGCTGTCAATTTTGGGTGGACGTGCACTTTAAATATAATGTAGAACATTAAGAAAACTCATTTTTCCTGACGCACAATAATCTCGCGCTGCAGCAAATTAAATTAACTCGGTTTGTTGTGGCAGCGGAAAGAAAAAAAAAACCCTCATAAAACGCAGATAGTTTGTCAGTTCTAATTATCTTTGCTGAAATGCTGGAAATGTAATGAGATCGCAGCGCCACACCAAATTGTCGTAATAAGCGGTTCCCACTGTTATATCCCCGGCGTGGCTTTCATTAACAGAGATGAAAGGGTACATTTTATTCCGTTCAGACTGTGTCAGATAGCAAACGAGGAACAGATAAATGGCTTGGGTTGTGTAACCCACCAAAGTATTGTATCTAGAACACGGGCCATGGTTTACCTGGTGTGAACTCGGCGTTGGGTTGGCTTAGTAAATTACAGGAAGGCAGATCAGCACGATGCACCATTACCAGGTCAGATATATAATGCCAGTAAGGTGCACACTGTTACATGATTATTATATAATAAACCCAGAGGCAAGGCAAGTCAATGTTGTCTATATCAACCTGGTTATATTTCACTTTATTACCGGCCCCCAAAACAACTGCTGATAGAATCTGATGGGTTACAATGGACTCTCCTGCCCCCCAGGTACCTGTAATTCAGGCCAAGCAAGTAGAAGGAAAGTTTTTAAACCACATTAGAGTATATAATGATTTCATTGTATCCACCTTTCCGTCCATACACATTGTCATGAGCACCTATCAATATAAGGATTATTATCCTTATTATTATTATTATTATCTTTATTTATTATTATTATCCTTATTATTATTTATTTATTATTATTATAATCTTTATTTATTATTGACTTTTTTTCTTTATTTACCTTTATTCATCTAACATCATTCTATTTGTATCTCATGTGTTTTCCAAACGGACACTTTGTATTATGTAGTAGCAACGTCCTCTGTTTGACTTGTAAACAGTTACCATTAATACCGAGGTAATTTTCTGGTCATTTAAGATTAATGCATCACGTTATATTCACGTGTGTTTGGCCCAGTGTAGTGTTGAGCAAAGCCCAAAACTGTCGCCGTACGCCGTTATATGATTATGCTGGAATTGCACGCTCTGCAGGAGCAACCTGCAATCTTCTGCTTTCTATATATTCAGGGGACTGTTCAGTAAGTCCCAGTTACGTGCACCTACCATGCAACATCCCTCACCATCCTCCTCCTATAACACACACAGCTGCAACATTCACTTAAAGGAGAACTATGAGGTGACTGTCACAGGTCGGCTCAGTAGATCGGGAGGTGAGCGAACACATACCGGCGTTAGCTCACCTCTCGATCCTGTCACGGCTCTCTGCCATGACAGGGGAGGGGCTGGATTCCCTCCTCCCCGATCCTCCATCGCTGACTGGAGGAACGGACGGGGGAGGGGGCGGGTACAGCTGGCTCTGCCTCTAGATAGGCAGAGCCAGCTATCAGTCACGCAGCTGGGCGGATCCCGGCACAATTGACGGGATCAGCTTCAGCTGCGGCGTCTCAGTATACCGCGAGCTGTAGCTCCCTAATATACTGAGCCTAGGGTGACGGGAGGACGCTAGTTTGTGTCCTCCCGTTACCCTAAGGAGAACTATGGGGAAAAACACTGACCTCATAGTTCTCCTTTAATCCACTGTCCTTATTTGTGTGTGTTTATCTACAACTTTGGTGTTTATGCTCCTCAGGATGAGTCTGGGATCTCCGCACAGTGAATGCATCCTGTTCAAACCTGCGCGTCATACGGTCATACGTGTGGCACAAAAACGCGCATTGCACAAAAACGTGCCATATTCTGGGCGACTTCCGCACGTTCCAAATATAGTAGTAGAATCGAAAAACCGTCCTGAAAACAAAACGCGATTTGTGAACGGAGCCTTACACTGTATCCACAGAGCTGGCTGTGTGTCGAATCCCAAAAAAGAGAAAATTGGTGGAAGATAAAAAGACATGACTGAAAACTATGGAAGCAGTGGCGGAACAATCGCCATAGCGACCCAGGCGGCCATGTAAGGGTGCTGGCTGTCACTGACACAGCTCAGCAGCAGCTGTGAAGAGGAACGCGCCGCTGTTAGATCAAGACAGCTCTGACAGGTAAGAGTTGTGCAGCCCATTCTGAGACCCTGCAGAGCCCACCATAGAGATTCTATGGTGGGCTCTGCAGGGTCACTCTCAGGTGGGCTGTTTGGTATATCAGGTGGGCTCTGCAAGTGGCATAACTAGCAATCATGGGGCCCCATACAAAATTTTGCTATGGGGCCCTGTGATTTCTAGTTACTCCCCTGCATGGAAGATGACAAAAGAGCAGTAGATTTATGGAACCATTGCAAGAAGGGATGTTGAATCCAACCTCGTATCTTTATCACACTGGGGTGTCTGTGCCGTAGTGAACCTCACCTTTATGATAAGGCTGTGCACGTTGCTTCCTTTGTTCTGGGGTGACAGGTGTTGCTGCACGGCTCTCCTCGCCCCTTTCACGGTGAGCAGGATGAGGGTGTAGGAGATGAGGATCAGCGTGCAGGGCAAGAGGTAGCAGAAGACGAACAGAGACACAATATAGGACATGGCTCGGTGCTCCTGGTTGGAGGCCTTCCAGTCTATACAGCAGGCGGTACCATACGGCTCCGGTCCGTAGCGCCCCCATTCTACCAGCGGGGCCGTGGCAAACACGAATGCGTAGGCCCAGACGCAGAGCAGCAAGATCCGGGAATGGAAAGCAGAAAATTTATTTCCTGCAATAAAAAACAAACACCCACAACCATTATGTGTCTTTTCTTATACATAGAATCTCCACAGTCTACCTAGGCCTGGCGTATACGGGACTTTGAGATACACTCTGCCATACGTGAACACTGACTCCTATGGAGGAATAAAAACAAAGCACAAACACTTGCCAGGCTGACCTTGTGTGGTTTGAAAAGTACATTAGACCTAACACAATACAAATTTTACACCTACACTTGACGCAATAATAAGAGGATCGGAATATGAAAGGTAGTTCTATACAAGACTTGAGAAGTACAGCCCATGCAGAAGGAAAATAAAATAAAACCTTGAAAGAAGAATGACGATATAACAATATAATCCGCATTGCCCATTGTCATTGCCTCGGTTATAGCTTGGTGTAAAGGAGTCTGGCTCCAATCATCATGTTCTGCCGCTTGGCATATCTCAATGCTGAACTGAAATGACAGCCCGGGCTTTCCTGGCCTTGCGGGGGCCATCCGATGTCAACAACCTATACTCTTCTCAGCCCTGGCTGCTCAGAAATCTCTCTCGGAAATCTCCCAACATGTGGAAGGCTGAGAAGGAGCAATAAACGTAGGAAGTAAGCTCTGTCAGTGATCCACATTGGGTGCTCCGACCCAGGCGGCGGCTATGGGGCCCGGCTGGGACGATCCTGATGCCCTGTGGGCCGGCCTGGGTCAATTTGGCATCTCACGCTGCTTGCTGTCACTGGCGGCTGTGAAGAGGAATGTGCTGCTGTTCAGCGCACTGACAGTGATCTGTGCAGCGACGCGTTCCTCTCCACAGCCACTGCCGAGTCAGTGAGAGCCAGCAGCGGCGGTGGAGCAGGCCGGATCCGGCAGTGGAGGAGGAGGCGGGGGCCCGGGGCTAGCATCAGAGGAGGAGGTGGGTCCCAGCGACGAGGGAGGGGGGGGGGCGGTCCCGGCAACGGGCGGAGGGGGCGGGGCTCATCACCCACGGAGGAGGCGGACAGGTAAGGAGTGTGACCAGCCCACCTGAGGATGACCCTGCAGAGCCCACCTTAGAGGGTCTATGGTGGGCTCGTCAGGGTCACCCACAAGTGGGCTGTGTGGGATCTCAATTGGGCTCTGCAAGGGGTGTAACTAGAGATCCAAGGGGCCCCATACAAAATTTTGCTTTGGTGCCCTGTGATTTCTAGTTACGCCCCTGGGTTCTGCTTATGCTTCTACAACCGTGAATAAACAACTAGCATGTGAGGGTATAAATAATACTAACTAGCAATATTTATCATATAAAACTAACAATAACACATTCACAACAACAACAATATTAAGGTATAAGGGGATAATAATTATATCTATATATCATAGTGTTGTACTGTTATCTTGAAATGCCTAACTGCCCAGGGATTATGTGTTGCATACATGCATTCCTGTAGAGCACTAGTGCATCCCACGGCTTAAAATCAACACATGGTGGGCAATCTGCTCTTCTGAGAACACTCGCTGCTCAGCCACGTGAATATGCAGGATTGGTATTCCTTAGCCTGCCCACTGTAGACACTTTGGTGTCCCTGACAGAGAAAAATGCAACTGCAGAGCACAGAATCATGCGACCTGAACATGCAGACCCATCAAAACCCACAAAAAGGTTAAACTGAACTTCTGATTTAAAGTGACATTAAACCCTCAGATTTTTTAACATAAACCAATACTGTAATGTGCGCCTTACTGTAATCCATGGTAGTTTCCCTTCTCTTTGCTGCTCTTCCTTTTAAATCTGTATCTGTTCTCATGCTGGGGGGAGAACTTCTGTTTTGCAGCAGACTGCCTTGTCTCTGGAATGGATATACGGTGTCTGTGTGCAGGTTCACAACCTGAGCCAGCACTACAGGAGGAGGCAGTCAGCTGCAAAGGGAAGTTCTCCCCCAGCATGAGAAGACACGAGGATTTATAAGGAAGAGCAGCAAAGAGAAGGGAAACAACCATGGATTACAGTGAGGCGCACATTACAGTATTGGTTTATGTTAAAAAATCTGAGGGTTTAATGTCACTTTAAGTGCAATTTCCTGATCACTATCACGGCTCTTTTAGCTTGTAGTCTGGATTTTATTTTATAAGAGGGAAATGATTTTTTTTAGGGCAATAAAAACATATTTCCTTTCGAAGGATCACCCTGGTGCCTATTTGTAGTAGATGGACTCGACTCTTCCTCTCTCCTGTTCTGTGAGTGATTTATAACTTAAATACTAAATGTGACATACTGGATTTTTTTTTCTGACTCAATACCAGGGTTCCATCTGTCCCCGTCTGTCTCATACAAAGTTTGGAGTGCGGTGCGGATGGGCCATACAGGACAATACGATTCAACTCACCGTATACAGGATAGCAGACTTTCATACAGCAGACGGAGCTCAGCACCGTCAGATTCGTCAGGCTGCAAAGACCAAAGAAGACCCCACAGAAGGCGTAATATTTACAGGTCACTTTATCGAACAGCCACCTGGAGGGAGAGAAGCTTCTGTCACCCAGCCTCCCAAACAATACGTTATTACTTTTCCAGCATGTGAGGAGTCCATCATCCTGTCCAGTTTAACCAGTTGACATCCGCGGTGTTAAACCCCCCTTCCCATCCAGACCATTTTTCAGTATTCAGCGCTGCGGTACTTTGACTGACATTTATTCCGTCATGCAGCGCTGTACTGAAATTAATTTACTTGACTCCCAGAAGGACTGTCCAAGGCTGAATGGGCGCAGACTTGGTAAATATAGCGCGGAGATACTGCCTCTGGAAACCTCTAAAGAGATTAGAAACCAGCAGGAAATTCAGCTGACAGCACAAAATATCAGAACGGTTTCAAGTGTTTCTGTTCCTAGCTGGTGGTCACATGCTGCCCCCCATATTGGCATTGCCCATTTCTTCACTGGCACCTACCTGTGAGCAAAGAGTGAAGGGATGGCCAGAGGAAAGAGAGTGGCCGTCATACCCAGGTCACTGATCGCCAGGTTGACGATGAAGAATTCGGCTGGCTTCAGCATGGATCGCTTGCGATACGCCACAAGCAGCAGCATGGAGTTCCCCGACAGAGAAAAGATTCCTGCAAAGGGATGAGTGCATATCATCAGGCCGCCATGTGCACAACGTTTTTATGGAAGTACAGTTTACTCTATACATAACATATATGAGAAAGAACCTGATTGGACACTGCCACTCCCCAGCAGCATGTCATAGCTGTCGATGGTGGGAGCGGAAAGTTGGCGTCAGAATTGGTTTATTGGCACAGATGGCTAATGTATAAGTTCAGCTCTATAGGCTTCAGAGAGCTGAGCAGCTTTACCTTAGTGTGGTCCTAATGCATAGACAAGGCAAACTGCCTTGTGTACTACAGAGTCAGTTCACATCAATGTGTTGCGGTGGTGTGTGTTAAAAGAAAAACATACGGCATTTCAACCGCAGGACAGACGCATCTAGGGGCAATCATCTATCCCAAACCGTATGTAATCGTACCATTGCTGTCGCTGACAGATGCGGGTGCTGTACCCTGTCATTAACTTGAATGGGCACAGCGACCGCATCTGAATGGGGTACCTGGGATTCCGGCCACAAAAATCCATAGGTTCCTGTGAATGTAGCCCTAAAGTCTATTGTAACCTTAAAGGAGAACTATGAGACGAGTGAAAATCACTCAGCCTCATAGTTCTAGCCGACCTGTGACAATGAGACTGTCACACGTCGGCTCAATAGATCGGGAAGTGAGCGAACACGTACCGGCGCTCGCTCACTTCTCGATCTATCCCTGCAGAGAGCCGTGACTGTCACTCACGGCTCCCT